TTAAAATAAATTCAGTCAATTCATCTTGAAAACATTTTCTAACAAATCTTAGTTGATGAAAAAAAGCCCAATAACTTAATTACATAACTAGCTTGAAATCAACCCTTCAAGAGCTGAGATGTAGGCTGTTGATTTTCAAAGCACATTCCTGTATCGAGCCTAAGTTACCTACATGTTGCTAACTTATACACCCCTGGTTTAAATGCAGCTGTCTGTGCACACACACCTGAATGAAGGTCATGTAGACTTTGTCCACGTCCGGCCGCTCCTCTCGGTCCACTTTGATGCAGACGAAGTTATCGCTCAGGATTTTTCCGATTTCCTCATCTTCGAAAGACTCTCTCTCCATGACGTGGCACCAGTGACATGTTGAGTATCCCACTGAGGGTCAGAGAGGACGAGATGAACCGGACACACCATGAGAGAAAGGAGGGGGAACATTTAAAGTCTTCTCATATCTGATTGGAGTTAGGATGATAAATAAGGGCAGTCAAGAGAAGGAAAACCTGTTAAAATGTTCCCGACAAGCTCTAAAAACTGCGTGAATGTTAACTGAACGTTGATCTAGAACAAAACAATGAAAGTCAAAGTAATAAATACCTAAATAAATGTATTAAACGTGTTCTAAACATGAAATTAAGAGTTAGAAACGCCTAAATAAATATGTAAATATGGCACTGACCGTCAAACTCAAAATAATAGACATGTAAAAATTCAGTTTTAATCAGAAAATTAAGCTCAAAGTAATTGGTATCTATGAATCTGAAACAAACTAAAACATACATACCTTAAATATATCTCAATAAATCTGAAATAAACATTAAGATTAAGGTAATAAATACCTTATTAAACATTACAAATTGAACTTAACATAACACTTACTCCTAAGAAATCTAGGTCTGAGCGTTTTTTATTTTTAAATATTAAATAAATAAAGCTATATTAATTGACCAAATGGAGTAAATTAAGTCCACAATAAAATGCATTTTAATTCCAGGTGTGAGAGCTGCTTCTGACCTGATAGAAAGATGGGTTTGTCTTCGCTCTTTGCCTTGTCGAAAGCCTCTTTTCCCCACGGATACCTGACACAAAAAGACATTATATTAAATATGACATTATACTATTTTTAATAAACGTAATGTGTTTCGCTCACCAGTCCACGGGGTTGTGAGCGTGCTGCAGCAGGTAGGGAGACCTCTCCAAACTCAGCCTGTTGGTGTGTTTGTGAGCAGACGCCATGCTCATAAACACTGATGATCTGGACACACACACACCACCACCACACACACACACACACACACACACACTTAAAGTCGCGCTTTGTTGACGACAATGTCTAAAGGTCTGCAAAAGCTAGACAATCTTTTCATTTGATTGAAATAGTGTTTGTCATTTGAATACTGAGAAAGGACTTGTGTCCAGAGGATTTGTGCAACAATAAACTACATAACAGATATTTTGCATCTCATAGCAGGAAAAGCACAGGTTTAATAAGTGATTCTCAAAATGGTTGCAATCAAATCAGGTTTATAGTCAGATGTGTTGTTTCGTGCACTTTTGCCTACTGTTTCCTTACCAGGATTTGTTAAATTTGGCAATCAATAACTTGTATTTCTCCTGCTAATCATAAATCATATTGTCCAGTGTCATAATCCAAATACAGGAAAGGGCAACCATTATAGCCTGTTTAATATAAACTAATTAAAGGTAAATGTGAATCTGACAGCATGGAGCTTTGCTTACGGTCAACTTCACTATATAGTCTGACTGTAGATGTGTTTACCAGCATTAAAACTATCACAACACAACATCTCATCACGTTTTTGCATGCTAGCTGAAGGAGATACTACAGCTGTCAAACACTGTCGCTGTTAGTCAAAGGTCACACATGCCGAACTCCATTCAAATATTACACAATTCAACATTACTTTGCCTATAGGCATTTGCTTATAGCCTAAATAACACATATAATCATATGATAACATTAATTAGACCTTGCCTTAAGATTCGGCTGTAATGAATATGACACATGGTCACATATCGATTAGTTTGTTTACATGTAACCCAATAGGCTAGCTTTGATTTAGCCATTAGCTGAGCCCGTCAAACCAGATATAAAAGGTGATAAATCATTAGGAAAAGTGTTGCTTTGGTCTTGTGTGAAAGCCGAATTAACGGGAAATGCATTTAGACCTTATTGCAATGTCTTATCTGACAAATTAATATATTTTCCCAATAGTAAACGTGTATTGAATGTTCAATTGTGTGATTTTTAAAGGGAGTTTCGTGCAACACTTATATTCGTCCGAATCACATGCACAAACAGCAACTACCACACAAAAAGCATTATATCGCCTGTCAACATTTGACCTACCATGCATTGTGTTGCTTACATTATGCATGCATGCTTTGCTACAACAAAGTAATGCACGTGTAGCAACCAGTTAGCTTTGGAGGCTTTACCTGCGGTGGTAGGCCGGCTGCTGGTGCTGGTGCAGCGGGGATCTGATGCTTGGTGGGCGGGGGTGGATTAGTCCGAAACACCTTAAGTTTCCCCCTGAGTTCCGCAGAGGACTCTCCGATGCCAGAAAAGCTGCAGCTAAAAGCCGAGCAGCAGCAGCATCCACACGGTTATTCCTGCAGGCTGAGCGACGCCATGCCAGTGTTATCATCCTAATCCTGCAAGAGTGTGACTTTAGCAGGCTAGGGTTAGCCGCTTCATTTAAAGAGGGCAGGCAAAACTTCCATGCATGGAGGTGTGCATGTTATTGCAATATCAGGAGGAGCCAACAGGTTTAAACATGCGAAACAATCAGTGTGTGAAGAAGGAAGGCATCAATGGTTGGGGAAGAATCAACATAATGCATTTAAACAAACATTAATATAACATCACAAACACTGAGCAGGTTTTCTCTCAGTGTTTGTGATCTTTTGTTAAATGTTTGTTAGGTTTTTTTCATGTATTGTGTCCTGATATTTGTCTGTTGATGTTACACATGTAGCTGCTGTGATGCAAGTAACATTTCAGACTTGATCTGACAGTATTATCGTATCGTAAGAATCAACATAATGCATGTATTTGAGAGGGGAAACATTGATTGATAGAGACATTTGAATCATTGTTGCTGAATATTTGCAGTGCATTTTGCAAGAATATGTTTTATATTTTGGAAGCTCAACCATAGTTTCTATGACAAATATGGACACACTCAAACCCTTAAGGACAAAAACATCCCCATTAAAGCACAATTGAATGTCCCCTGGTCATTAAAACATGTTATTATGCATTTAAATATGTATGTTTTACACCAGATTTTGGTTTGCCTATAGTGCAGCTATATGCTATTTTCCTGGATTCCTGCACACACGAAAAATAAAAAAAGTGCATGATAATTAATATATCGTTTTAAATTATTTACAATTCAGTCATACAGACAGGAATATCTGACTCTGCACATTAGATAACAACGCATTCAAAAGCTATATTGTTTTTATTCATTGAGATATCACAGACTATGAAAGAAAATCAAAAATACCACGGAAAAAATATATTTTGTAAATTGCGTGTGTGATATTATATTTCATTAAAACAACAGTGGTATTTTATAAATAAGCTGCTATTTAAATAGTAATAAAATCAAGATAATTAAGAAGTGTTTGGTAATGCTGATCAGGATTTAAGTTAGATTAACATTTAACTAATTGGAAGTGAAAAAAGTACAAATAACTTGTAATTTTATGGCATTTTTTTTCCATTAAAGATTCAGGACGGAGCACATTTTTCAAATATAAAAAAAAAAGAAAGACAAAATGCATTTATCATTTACAGTAATCGTTTATTTGGAAGGGACAATGCGCAGTAATGAACACTTAAAACATTAAAATGTGTCGTAACCAGGGCAGGAATTTCACGCCTCAACCCTCCCACTTTGGCCTTGTGCCCTTAAAAATGATATCTGCCATAAGGCCACAGTG